CAGTTAGTCGGAAAAGTGGGACTGAGGGAGCAATCTGGTACCAGTAAGGAATGAAGACGGGCTGATGAGGTTTATGACCTTTTAATCTATTATCTTGTATTAACACATTGCACATTGCTAAACCCTCCAGTGAATGTCTTTTTCAATATCACTTTTTACTTCATCTGCACCGCGTGTTGGCTGGGATGGTGGGTACCACTGGAGAAAAGTATGCGTCCAAGCATGATTTGAACGTTGACGGTTTTGGAACTTTTAGGTTATAGGAGAGTAGTCACTGGGGATTTTTGCTTTAATATCCGCCTCAAAGAGGGGTTACGATGATATGGAAATTTCTTTATGTCTTAGGGTAAGTTGATAAATTTGTTAGATGGTTTCACATTTTCTTGAGGTTCTTTGATTGAATAAACTTATTGATGCAGGAAAAGATTAAAAGATGAAGGCTGCTGGGGCGAGGATGGCGTAGAAATTGGGAGAAACAAATAGTGAAGTCCGAGTAGGTACATAAAACAGTTCCTCTGTAACTGCAAGAACATGGCTTGGATTAAGTGTGGATGTCTGAGACTCAGCGGCTAACTCAAACTTGCCATGTGTGGAACAAAACTTGGGGAGTGTGAGTGAGATTTGGTGTTACGTACTAAAGGGCAAGGACATGGAGGGATCATTCAGAGTTATCACATGCCTTGGGTTTATTAAAGGAAGTTCCAAAGAAAACGAATAATAAAAGAGATTTTCTTGCTATGAACTGAAATGCAGGTGGGAATAGGAGGGGGGTGGTTATTTTATGAACAAGCGGTTCTGAGGATACTGGGGGGCCTAATAATTTGAGGACACGGGTCTCGGGTCATGTCATAGTACTAACAAGTGTAGATGGTGGTAATATGCGGAAAATAGAGAGGGTGCCCAGATAGTCATGGTGTGATTGGGTGGTGATGATTTAAAAGGAGTAATAATTGTCCAGGTTGTGTGAGATTCAGATTCCGAGTGATTGGGTTGATTGTGATTTGATTAGACGGGAGGGAAGTAAAAGGGAGACTTACATGTGGACTGCGTCAGTTACCGTAAAGATGGATTTGGCGTGTTTGTTAAGCTGTAGGCGTGCATTCATTCCTTCATTTGATCGAATGACACCCATCAGGCTCAGGGTTGGTCTGCATTGGTAACACCAAACCATGGTTATAAGAGAAAATTGATTTATTTATGAAAATGACTTGCCCTTATGTTTCGGGATGAATTTTCGAAATTAAGATGTTACCAGATAGACGGAAACCAATGGGGTCTACTTATTCCGATCGAATCACCTTTTGCAATAAGAAATCAGAAATTTAATTCATTCACGAAACAAATTTATTCTCTATTTCGTCATTCTTAATTTTCTAAACATAAAATAAAAGAAAGATGGGTGCGTGGGCTCCCTATTTTATCCATATTGCCCAATCTATTTTCAAAAGATGTTGGCACATGATTCAGAAATAATTACATTATTTTGGTTAATTATTGAAACACAGAAGGTTAGAAGTTCACTAAAGTATCCCAGTAAAAAAAAGTTGTAAAAGAATTAACAAAAAAACCTGCCATCAACCCATAGTTGCACAGGAGATTGTCGGCAACCAGACGTCTTGTTGCGGGAAAATGTGGTACAAACGGTTACCTGCCGACCAGAAATGGTGAAAGTTCACAGATCTGGACCGTCAGCGAGGAGAAAGGGAGGAAGGGGGGGAGGGACGACCAAAGAAATGGGCCGTCGTGCTGTCAACGACGGCACTCTTTGGCATGTGTTGGCCTTTTCGGTCGTCAACAGCCGACAGGGCCTTTAGATGGCTTTTCCGGCCAGACCGTTGGTCGATCTGGCCGGGAAGAGAAAGGCCATAACGACGCGTTACGGGCAGATCCGACCGGTCGGGGCCGTTAGACAAAATTTATCAGGCTAGATGTCAAGCGAAGGTGATGGGCCGAACACGGATCTGGCAATGCAGGTGGTGAGGGTGTTTTTTGGTAATTATAGTTAGGGGCTTTATTAATTTAGAACTAAGAGCTTTTTTTTCAAATGTTTAAAGTGACCTCGATAATACTCCCCTATCAAAACAATCCAATACTATCCCCAGAAGTCTGATCCAAAATATTAAGCAAACGACACACGATAATTTTTTTATATAATAGGAGGTGATCCGTGATAAAAGGTTAGATTGAAAGCTAAAAGTGTGAATTATGCCTATATACCCCTACCGACGAAGAGGGCGGCTAAAGCCGAAAAGGACCATTGAAGCATTTTCAAGAAACAAAGCGGGTATTTAAAGGAGAAGATCACCAACAGGGGTTCTTGTCTAAGGCAGCATTAGCTTACACATTTCCCTCCATTTCATCCTCCGATAAACGGTACCATAGTAAGGTAAGGTGTATCTAGACTCTATTCCTTCATCGCCATCTCCATCGCCAATCTCCTTCCCCAATTTTCACTTAATTTTGCCTTTTGCATGCGTATCTTCATAAACGAAGATCTGTATTATTAAGCCATGGTATTTGGTTTCTATCCTTAAAGTTTTTTTCACTGCATCATCTATGAGAGATCTAATCACTTTCCTCTTTTAAATCTACTACCTTATTTTATTAACCTTTACGGAAGTTGATGCGTCTTTATGGCATGTGCGGCTGTGGTCCATGATAAGCTAATTTATTTGTGCTGCTCTCGATAATGGAGTCCTTCTTTAGATGCAAATGGCTGGATTTTAGGGGATTTACTATGAAGATCATATATTTCAGATAACAAGTTAGTGGTCTCATGGGTAGCCGTTTTGTTAGCTCCGCAAAGAGGGTACCGATTTCCATTGCCTTAACCTTTAATTCCAGCGCAGCGATCGTTTATGAGCATCGTTACTGTGGGGATCCGAATTTGTTTCAGAGAAAATTTATTAAGAAAAAAATCCCATTTTTAATGAAATATGTTTATGAGGAATTTTTTCAAAACGGAATTCCCCCACCACCCCCCTTCAAAAGAAAAAAGGTCCAACCGATGAGATGGAATTTTTTTAATCTATACGTTTGAGTAGACCCAAGCTAAGGGATTGTTCTGGATCAAGTTATAAAGTGAGTAGGCAACGTTGGACATCTGAAGTTTTGGTTGAAAAAGTCTGGCAAGTTGGGTGGATGCCTACTTGTACAAAGGAGAACCCTTTATCATTGATTTAGTGCCTTGCCTTGATGTGCCATCTGAAAACATCCGATTGCAGGAAGCATATGGAAGCTTAGTGAGAAAAGCCCACTGTGTTTTTGTTTTGGGTAAGCCATCTGTTACTAACTGTTATGGAGTAGTTGAAATGATCATTACACGAAGTTCTTTGACAAGATTGGATAGCTTTCTATTAAGATACTAGGCCTGACAAACCACTGTAGTCTTATGTCTGTCTGGAAATATTTGTAAATATTTGAGCAGAGCAAACATGTATAGAAAATGTTACTATTTTTGTTGTTTATATGTTCCCGGGGCGGTTATAATTGCTTGGGAGAATATATTTTGTTTTTTACATAAATTTTTTCTAGCTTATGCGTGGGTTTTTTTGTTATTTCTTATTCTGTTATCTTTCAGAGACTTGCCTGAGATGGTAGTTCCTTTCTATTGATTACCAGGTGGACCGGCAGTGGCAAAGGAACCAGTGTGCCAAAGATTGTCGAGCACTTTGGGTAACCCTCTCAGTGGTGAGCTTCTTAAGGGCGCAGCAAAATTAAATCTGGCTATGCAAAATGGCGTATGGCTTAAAAATTTATGTTGCGTTAATGTTGTTAGATCTAAGGACGGGAGAATTTTGGATAAAGCTGTCTATCAAAAAATGAATCATCATGCGATGATTTAGGTGGCTTATTTTTGAAATACTTCTAAAAGCTGGTTTTGGAATTGTGCCTCAATGCAGAAATCAGATGCGTGGGGACACTTTGGGGTGATCTTATTATGAATTTCTGTAATCAGACGATCGGCATATAGAACCCCATTACTTAAGATTTTTTCTGTGTTTGTGGATCCATAGCTGCCACTTCCAACTTGTAATAGGGATTAGGTTAGGTGAATACTGTAAAGCCTGTATTATGAAATTGATGCAACCCTCAGTGTTTAAGTTTGGTCAGAAATGGCGTCATGTGCCTTTGAAGTCGTGCCCCCGGTATTTTAGACATTCTGGGCGAGTGGGGATTCCTCTAGATCAGGTGTAAAATCAGAATCTTTATTTGTGGAAAACTGGAACCTTAGACTTTGCTAATAAACATTTCTTCTCCTGCTGTGTACAGTTACCATGATTCAAAACATGATTAAAGAGGGAAGAGTTGTTCCGTCAGAACGTTACAATTAAGCTGCTCCACAAAAGCGAATGTGAGAAAAATGCGTAGAATGGAAATCCGCATTGAGTGGTTTCCTAGGAACGATGGGGAAAGATCGTGCGGCATTTGAAAGCTGTGTGTAAAAAAAAGTCATTCGTTTATTTAGTATTGAAGATGTGGCGTTAGCTTACATCATATACTGTTACATCAACACTTCTTAGAATTTGGATGTTTTTTTTAATGCTGCAAGACTGTATTGGCATGCAGACTCAATTGAGCCAGAAGTAGGTCTTAATTTTGCTTGTTCTGAAGAAGAGATGGAGAAGCGCCTTTTTTGAGTAGGACCAAGGTTAGAGAAAACTTTGACATTTTTGTTATGTAAATTCGTGTTTTAGGTTTTTGTTTTTAAATTGTTGACATAATACCTTTCCTTGGTAATGGAAGGGAAAGAGAAGAGGATAACATTGAGGACACTAAGGGAGCGGGTGTAAGTTTCTTAGAGTTAGTTCCCCGTGGTTCAAGTATAGGAATCGAAGGGTAAAGTCGGGTGAAGGGAAGTAAAGGTTTTGTTTGAGTTCTTTTTAGTTCCACGGTGTAGATCTATTTCACGTTTAATGCAGCTTCACATTTTGTTGCTTTGTTGTCAGATTGATGCTGCAAAGCCAATTGCAGGGTTTTGCTGCTCGTGAGCCGTTTTTTATTTGCTGCAGAACATGAGAAGGTAAGAGAACCTGTCGTGTCAACCTTTAGGTTCTCGTTTGGGGACATGATTTGGCTAGAATGTGGATTTAGTCATGTGTAAGTATAGTGGTGGAGACAGGGGTTGTGTCGTATTATATTTCAGCAGGTGATATTGAGTAAATATCATATATGTACTATTTCATGCTGTCTGATTAACTGAAAAAAAGTTGGTTTTTTTATAGAGATTTTGGGATGGAGAGGATGTAGTGTCGTTGACTAAAAATAGAAATTGGGGGCTACAGGTACAGACAGGGATCTTTATCATTTGTATGCAATCATGAATGTAGGAGATTAGTGAGTGGCTATTAAAGTAAATGTTTCATTGATTCTGGTAAGGTAGCTTATATTGTTGAATGGATGCATGTGCTGATTTCTTTAAAGGTTGGGACAACAAACAATATAATGCACATGTCTGCACTATTATATTCAAATATTAGGGCTTAATCATAAAATAAATAAGATATGATTTTTTACCAATGTTCCTGCAGCTATTAGCAACAAAAATAAAACTGGCAACTGTTGATGGATTTTGTGTTTTTAAAATATGATTTGTTATATTTTTGTGTAATCCATCAATTTAGTAAGTGCGTGTCTTAAATTGGATTGTGCTTCAGTGAATAGTTGTGTAGAATCTGGAAGTCATAAAAATCCGAAAGTATCGTTGATCCATGTCCTTGCCAATTTCATTCTCTATTTTTCAACTCTTGCAATTAATAACTTAATTGAGCCACTTCACTTTTTTGTATCAGACCTGTGTTTCAAGGAATTACTAAATGTGTGCAAAAGTACTTTGGTGTAGTAGTTTCAATTTAGAAAATTATCAAAATACGCAAGCATTCATTTTCCACTTATGTGACTAATTGGATGCAACCATTTTATGTTCATTTTTACCCCATTAATTGATATTTATGTGTGCGTGAGTGCAGGTTGCTGAGTAGATTATCAGATTGCTGATATAAAGGTAACACTGGTACAGGTTATAACATGAAATGGTTTTCATTCAGTAAAGTTGATGGTTCTTTTCTTCGTTATTTTTCATTTATTTATAGTGGGGTAGAGGAACTCAGTGAAATTAGTAGATTATGAGAGTTAAATTTGTAATATGATAAGAATGAGGAAATGTAGTTTGCAACCTGGGACGCAATGATTTCAAGTAATGGGTTGTTAAATATGTTGTTGACCATAAACTCCTTCACATGGTTATTCATAACCAGAAGGTCAAAATGAGAAATATTTGCAGCTCAATTTCAGATAAGGCATCTAAATTTCATTATGAAGCTTGGTTGATAGTGTAATACTAAGAATATTTTGCCCTGTTTTGTTGCAGGTGAATGTTATGTTGTGGATGGCCGCGTATTATTGTAGTTTATTGAGAGGTTTTAATGTCACATGTTTGTGAGGTGTGATAGAAGAAGATTATAGTATGTGTCTGTGATTTTATTTATACCTCTATATAGTTAATTTGATGAGGTATGTATACCTATTTTTTATTGTTATTGTGATTGTACTCATGAGATGATTGAGAGTAATAAAGAGTTGAAGAATATATCCTTATTTTTGAAGTAGCAAATTGAATGAGTAGGTCGTGGGTGGCTTAAGGAAGAATTGTGATGTTATTAATTAAACAGCTATACACGTATTCTTAAACTAAAGCCACCCATGTGACCAATTGAATGTCGTCAGAATTTAAAGAGATTTGACAAACAATAAGGCAAGGTGAAGGTGTCCATGTCCATGTCCATGTCCATGAATGAGGCCGTATCATTGAGGACTCTTGTTTTTAAGGTGAAAACCCATAAATTAGAACGTAAGGGAAGTATAGCCGTGGCTTGCTGGGGATGTGTTCAAGTTGAATGAAGAGACAATTGAGTAGGGTAGATGTGAGTTGTGAATGTAATAAGTAATAGCCCAAAGGTTATCATTTATTTACTCACCCCATGCAAAAAGTAGATGGAACGTGGCAAATGCAATTGTATATAACATANACCCTTTTCGATAATTCATTTACCTATTAAATGAATCATCTGGACAATTCATATACATACTTTATTTTAAATGCATGACTGAATAAAGGAAGCAATTTACATATATGAATTGAAGAACTCTTTCTTCTATTATTTATGATATATATATAGATACAAGACAAAATGCTCTGAAACCGACAACACGAATGGTTTCTAGGGCATACACTAATATACACTAACATTTTTCTCTCTGTTCTTTCTCTATTCTTTGTCTATTCTTTCTCTGTTTCTCTCTGTTCTTTCTCTATTCTAATTTCCCACTACTCAAGATAATGGGCATGGTATTATGCATATATACGATGCAAATGCACAAATGCATAAAATGTGCATTTTCTTTTCTATTTTTCTTATTCTGTTTTCTGTTTTTTTTCTGTATTTCTTTCTTTCCTTCTTTTCTAGTCTTTCTTTCTTTCTATTCTTTCTTTTCTTTCTTTCTTTCTATTCTTTCTTTTCTTTTCTATTCTTTCTTTCTTTCTATTCTTTCTTTCTTTTTATTCTTTCTTTCTTTCTATTATTTCTTTCTTTTTATTCTTTCTTTCTTTCTATTATTTCTTTCTTGCCGATCGGACTCAGTTGAGGCATGGATTTGGAATCCTAGCCGTGTGAGTGAATTCTCTAATTCTGGGTACAATCCTCATCCACACGCACTTCTAACGGACTGTACAAATCTTCTTTCTGAATTCTGAGGCCGCTCACATAAAGACGGCGTGCATGTAAGGCTATATTACTCACGGGCTCCCCATCGCAACAACCTTCTCTTCTTTTTATCTTTTTTACACTTCTTTAAATAAAAATTCAGATTTGAACTTCTTTAATATTCTCATTTCTTTGTATTTACTCTTTAACATTCTTTAGTGCTTTTTCATGCTCTTATGAGTACGTATGCATGTAGATGGTTTCATGCTTATAATTCTTTCTAAATTCACATGTTTAGATGCAATAATGCAATATGGAATGCAAACATGTCATTCTCTACCATCTACAAACTCAATTCAAAGTAACCCATAATCGTACTCATACATGCATTTCTCTTTGACATTTCATCAAACAATTCATGTGCACAAATCAACTCTAATTTGACTACACTTCTACCTCTTTTCTAAGCCAGCAAAAATTTGGAATAAAATCCTCTATCTTTAATGCCAAACCTGTCCAAAATGTACAGTCCAAAATTTTTACTCCAATTCTTCCAAATTTCATCCAAACTCACATCAAATATCAAATACACAAACACTACTTCTCATGGATAAGTTCTAATCATCATTCAATACCAAATCCATCAACAGTTCTTCATATAAAACACATATATGCATAAAAAAAAATTTCTACATAATATTACTTAAATCATACTTAGGGTAGGATTTACTTACCTTATATGTGAGCAATCCAACACTTTAAAAATCTTCTTTGATCCAACTCTCTTTCTCTTAAATCCTATGAACACAAATCATCAAAATTCAACACTTTAAAAATTAAAACTCACTTCTTAGAGCAAGGATCTTGCACAAGGATGCTTGAGATTGAAAATCCACTAAAAAGTACCCTAAATCTATGAATTTCCCTTGAAAAAGAATTGAAGAAATTGAGAGAATTTGGGTGGTAAATGGCATGAAAGAGGAGAAGAAGTGGCTAGGTTTCACTCTTCAATTCTTGATATAACATAATATTATTTATAGTTTCCCATTTTGCCCTTGCCCTTTCTATGAAATTCCATCTATGTCCCTTAATCAATTACCATAATGCCCTCATTTTATTGCATTCTCCATGAAATTCTATCTCTTTTCACTGCTCACATTTTCGACTAATTATGAGTGAAAAGACCATTTTACCCTAATGACAATTTAAGGGATTTTCTTCACATTTTTTTTTTCAAAATAACTTTAATAAAATTCAACTAAGAGTATAAGGGTATAAGTAAAGTTACGTATCTCAATGTGGACGTTACAAAGGCAGCAGCTGTAGTTCCCCAATTTTTATTGTTTTTCATTTTATGAATAGGCAGACTGTTCTAACGCTATAGGTGTTTATGGAAAATCAGTCGGTACCGACCATTTAGGTATTGCCTAGGGAAGGCACATGCAGTGCCTATTTTGTGTTCCCCATGCCATGCACATAGGTTAATGGATAAGAGATCGAGGATTGGTCACTGTTAGGGCCAAAAATCGTCCTTGGTCCAAATAGGAAAACAGGCCCGACACTGAAGAAGAAGCCAGGCCCAATCCCGATATGACCCAACCGGATTAGGCCCATTCGATACAAGGTATAGCCGGCCCAATCCACGTGGGCACGAGCCTCCTAATCCCAGTCCATTTCCTAAAGTCCATGGGCGAATCCAAAGCCCACGGCCCCCTCAGGATACTTTCCTACTCCTGATCAATCTCCTGTTCAAGATCACCTTCCTATTCCTGATCACTTTCCTGCTCGAAGTTACTCTCCTAATCAGAATCACCTTCCTATTCAGACACTGGTAAGACAGCTTACCACGGCCCTAATTCTTCTAGGGTTTGCATCAGAGTCATATTACGACTCCTACTTCTACCAGGATTGGGAGACCAGACAGTCACTATATAAGCAGAGGCCAGCCCTCTCACAAAGGACTACATTACACCTTCACACCCGAAGCTCCTACTCGAGAGCTTTACATCACCACCATAGCCACAGTCTCCGACTAGACTTCTGGTAATCTCTACTCCCTAGCCCTCACTATATTAGCCTCTCTTAGCCTTGCTGACTTGAGCGTCGGAGTGCCTACAACAAACACCACCCTGGTATTTCCCGTTCGCTTCACGCGTGTGTTTCTCTACGTGTGCAGGTGTAACGGATCGCTAGTGGCCTCAACCTCACGGGATCAGACCCCTCTTCCGTACAGGTGGATTTTTACGTCTACAATTTGGCGCCCACCGTAGGGCCTCTAACAATCATTTGGCTCGACGAACCTTGCTACGTGGAGGAACATTCCATGGCTGACAACTCCGATAACCCTAATCCCGGCCTCGAGGACAAACTGGAAGCTCTAACCGCTCTCATGCAGCAGAACTTGGACAAAGTGGCTGCATTGGAAGTTGAGAACAATGCGATCTGGACGGAAAGCGCGTCCGTCAGGTCAGAAAACCAATCCCTCAAGGAGAAGGTGAGTCAATTCTATGACCTAGAGTTCCTTCTCAGCCAAGCACCCCTCAATCGGTTCTGTACCCCTGTTCCGCCCATGCAACCTCTCCTTACACCGGAGCCCCGACCCTCGGCCTCTGGCAAAAGGCCGCGTCCCTTAAACCCGTCTGCGGTCGACAATTCAGGCCTAATTCATGGAGATAAAGATATGCCTGTAAAACACCAATCAGCCGATTCATCCCAGCATCAAGACCAAGACGATCCGATGACAGAGAGCCCTCATCCACAAGACTAGCTCAATCTAACCATCCCAACACATACTCCACTCGGCTCGGCTCATCCTCGCGGGATGAACGGCCAAACTAAACCAACAATACCTGAGCCCATCCATCCTGATCAACCGAATGACTATCAGGGGACTCCCCTGACCATCCATGTAGGGCGAAACACTAGAACAGTTACCATGGAAGTCATCCAACCGGAAGGAATGACTGAAGATCTATGCTACCAAGGAACACACGAAGGGACTCGTCAAACTACCCCAAGAGGGATGACCCAACGGAATGTACTAAAGATAAATGCAAAGGCCGACCCTGTCATATGGGATGACCTAGTGGCGTCCCCCTCTCCTATGGAACAGGTACTAGCCAAGAGATTGGCCGATGTGGAAGCAGTGATGCGACGTATTCCAGGAATGCTGGTCCCAACCAAGAAGAGCAGACCCCATTGTTACGCGGATTCACCCTTCGTGGACTAGATCGCCCTAGCCGACTTGCCTCAAAAGTTCACTATCCCCAACATGAAAATGTACGACGGCACAACCGATCTGAACGATCACATAGCCTTGTACAATCAGCGGATGTTCACCGTCTCAATACCCCGACCGTTTAGGGAAGCCTGCATGTGCAAAAGTTTTAGTTCGAGCTTATTCGGCCCAGCACTACAATGGTACACGAACCTCCCAAACGGATACATCGATTCGTTCACTCAACTCACCGACATGTTTGTGGAACAGTTCACCAACAGCAAAAAACTCGAGAAACTGTCAGCCAACTTGTACAGAGTATACCAGAGAAGGGGTGTGCCATTGAGAGAATATGTCAGCAAGTATAACAGAGAGAAGATTTCCATCCCAGCATGCAACCCTGAGACAGCCGTAGATGCCTTCAGGAAGGGTCCCTCCCGGACGGAGAGCTATACAAAGAACTTACAAAGCTGGGATGCATAACAATGGAAGACGCCCTGGCCCGGGCAGTGATCCAAATAAGGTGGGAGGAGGATGAGATAAACCGAACGATTCACTCCAGATATGAACCAAGGCGGAGCAACAGGAAGACAGGACCTGGACCGGTAGAACACCGCTACCACCCTCCAGCACGTAATATGGGCAGAGTCAGGAAGCCTTATGATCGCCAACCCTCGAGAAATGA